CTCAATGCAAATATTATATTGTATACAAAAATGCCTCCAGGCATTCGTAACGCATATTATGGCGACGATTCAAAAGAAACCAGACATATACATTTACGCCGGTATATATTTGAATATATATGAATATAGAGGATTACCATTGACGCTAGGTAGCCCCCCACAAAAGGCATCATGGATCGTAGAAACGTCATGCATTCCGTTTGGCCGACTTACTGCTCCCAAAGGCTCGTTTCGCACATGAGGTGCATAGTGACCCTTTGGTCTCCAACCGTCTTCTGCTTGATGTATTCCCGAGGGAATCGATTAATACGCGCGATTGCGGATGCAACGAGCCGCTTCCAAGACCACGCATACCGTAATGGTCAAACGACAGTATTTCCATGCCCTTTAAGCCTGAGCGCTTCTATTATTCGCAGACGTAAAATTAAATAGAGGAACGCATTATATGCGATTTGCATTATGCTCAGAATCTGATTATGTTAAATTCCTTTTACAGCGTACAATAATATTGCAATAATTAATTTACAAAGTAATCTACGTTAACGTTATCAATTTAAAATAATTGTACGTATATCCTTTGATAAATGACATAAATCATTAAAACCATTAATGCATTCTGCAATGTAATGGGTAACTAGACACTGAGTATACTGTGGATAAACCGCGCATAATTAATTGGGATAATTACGGCCATAGTTACGGAGATACTGGTTCATCTCTAATCAAGAGAGTAAGTCTTCCTATATTCTACCTCGCGGACATCGCAACAGTACAAGGCAACCGTGTCCCATGTGCAATAGGAGTTATTACGTTGCTTCTGTCGTGCAATTGCAACTTCGAAGACGCCAGCTCCGTAACTCGAACTAATACCTCCTGTGACTTCGGGCGAAATTTGTGAGCAACGAGCTATCGTCGACTACGCGTCGTCATAGCTGCTTATAAAATCTAATCTCGCGATAATTCGCGAATTAAGCGTTTCCCTAAAAATTGTTTATAAACAACATGATTAATATAAATTCCAACTCTTTTTCTAACAAAAATCTAAATATTATTTGCCAAAGAAAAACCAGGAAATTAAATGTTAAAATAAAAATGAATTAAGGAAATTAAAGGATAATAACAAATATTGAAATCTGTAAATCTGTTTTTGTCAGATAAACTGAAAATTATTATCAAAACTGTAATTTTGAATCTTAATACGAATATAATGACGCATCGAAATACATGCGCGCGATTTTGCGGTTGAATGTGTTTTGTTGCTCTAATATCCTATATTATTCTACAAACATCTGCGAGATGTGAGTGTGTTAGACCATTGTCTTACGCGTCTGTGCATGCAACAGGATTCCGGATGGTCAGCATTGCATTGTTTGGGCCAAGTAACGTAATTGCTGATGTCACAATTATATAATAATTTTATAATAGCCACATTATACGTATAATATCCTTTTATTAAAATTATTATATATAAATAAATATCTCTGTGTGTATATGTGTCACTGTAGCAATAAATAATTAATAAATCTACAAATAAATTTCATTTATTCAGCTTACACAAGAAAAGCGTGAATAAAATCATTCAACGATATAAACTTTGCTCTAACAGATTTTACAAACCATCGATTAATTACATTCAATAAAATTTGCCGATGTACAGCAAAAAGGTACAGTCTCTTTAATCAAACACGGCAGATAATTTCAGTCTGGACACATAAGCCGCGCGTGGGATCTATTGGACGGATCTCGTTCGTATGCAATGACTAATGCAAACACTCCACCGCTTACGGATGACCATCACGTAAACATGCCGAGCGAAGCACAATTGAATTTGAACTATTGTCGATGCAAAAAGGTTTGCTTCGATGCTATTCGCTTCTATCGCGTCAACTTTTACGAACTCTATGAGAATGAGATAAATGTCTCTTGCATGCAGATCCTACAGAAATTATTGTGATTATATTACCTGTCGAGATTTATATTGCTTTGCGACGTTGGAGATTTACAAAATCCTATTAATATCACAAAAATTCTTTATACCATTAAAATAAACTTTAATTCATGAAAGCATTGCATAAAATACTCTGCACATATATTACTCTGCAAATACCCCCCCAAATACATATTTATTCTCTTTCTTAATTAATCTGATTAAATTGCGTCACTTCCTTGCAAAAATATTCTAGAGAGAATTTGATATTTAACGTTAAATAACTAAATACTGACAGTGGTAAAATAACATACCGGAATTAAAAAGATTATTAAAAAAATCGATATTAAAAAAATCGGCTCTAAGCGGAAAAATCGCGCGTTATTCTGTAATGTTATAAGAAAACTTAATTTGTGTTTCCTACAATGAGAAATCCTAAGATATACATGCAACTGAGGAAAACGATTAATCCAAGCAATCGCCAGTATAAACCGCTAGTATAAACCGCCACTTTCAAGATACCTTTACCGCCGCAACCATCTCATTCTCCGATCTCCTAGATGCGGAAGAACGACATTGTTCTCTCTCTCTCTCTTTCTCTTTCTCCCTCTCTCGCACGTAGCAAAAGCGTAAGGGGTCAGTCGGAATTGTATTGCTTAGTGCGAGCCACGCAATTGCAATTGCGAAACCACGAAGCTCGGCGGAATTTGCACTAACAGCGTTCACTCAGACTCCTTAATACGACCAAGTCGCGCAACTTACAATTATAGCGTGTCCAGCGAAATCCCATCGCTTTTCACGCTGATACGCACACAGGAAAATCTCAATCTCTCAACTAGGTTTCCGCAATTGCTATGCATTTCATGCCGCGTAAGCAAAATTTGAGAATCGCTTCGTGTCTCCTATCGAGCCACAAAGAAAGAAATAGTTGTTAATAGAAGCATCAATATAGTTCCTCTTTTTAGCGTGTCTAACTAGTCTTAATCAACGCGAAATTATTATTAAATTAAATTTATTCTGGTGAGTTTATGACAAAAATGTACGTATATTTTAGTTCGCTTGAAATATTTTTTCACGAAAAAATGTTTTATACAGCCCGAACGTTGCATAGCGGAAAAATGCTATTAAATCTAAAATGGATTACATAAATAAATAACATACATAGTTTCGGTTTATGCGTGCACAATTTTAAAAGGTTTTTTCTCTCTTTTTGCATTTATTTTAATTAATCTTAATTTATCATAAATATATATATCCACAGAACACTTTTATGCTAAACAAACTAATTAACTATATACATGCAAACTAGTCAGTAAAGAGTTATATGCGCGATCCTCAGTGTAGTCGATGTTGTCTATTCAGTTTGGCCGTTACATGGGTCACCACCAATATAGCGAAAGCTTTAGGTGCCAACTAGCTTTTCAAATTATCATTTAAACGGATTCGAATTGTCCCAGGATACCCGTTGTTCATACCTCGACTATGCTTTCGAGATTATAGGCCGTCGAGACTAAAACCATTTCTCTCACGGAATTTAATCGGATCCCGGCGGAATTCCAGACCAGTCGTCTCGAAACAAATTCACGAAACACCAACTGTATTCCTGTTTGCTTCCAAAATTCCAAGCGAATCACCAATATAACTAACGTGCACTCCGCGAAAAAAAGAGCTGACATAAAAAAATATTTGCGAGCAAAGAAAATTAGATGACAACAAGACCAAAGCTAAGAAAAACTATTTTGTCTCTTATTTATATATACTGATTTATTTCATCGGACTCTTACAATGTACGGTGCATCCTTGCAAACTTAACAGCATTCATATTATTTAATGAGGCCTGTTTTTAATACCCGGCGTTTTAACATATCCATCCAAAGTCCAACTAATAAAATGATACGCAAATTTCCGAGAAGATTTCTCAAAGAAACGATACATTTCATTATTTTCTATATAAATTTAATTAACTACACAGCTATTCAATCCCGGCATCAAATTAATCCAGGTATTATCGGGTAGTCGTAGCAATCCAAACGTTATACTATGACGTGCGAATGTATCGATCGTAATTATCAGATTTTCTATTCAATACGATGCGTAAACTGCATTACTGCTACTTTATATCATCGACGAGTTTCATTCGCGTCTTTTAGGACTCATATCGCGTCTTCTTGCCTAGTCACAGAGAACGTAACTTACACAATCTGTCGTTAAGTCCGCCATCATGGCGCCGTAAATATGTTCCATCGAAGATATTGCATTGCAAGATGTGTATACATAAAGGAGGAGAGAAGAAGAGAGAGAGAAGGAGATGCAAGACGGCGAAGCGAGAACAAAATTATTTCGCGAGCGTAATGGCGCGGATGTACCCAATAAAACAAGGAAGAAGTAGCGGACGATCGATCGTAAGAAAACAGAGGCGCTCAACAAAATTTTCTCCTCAGCATGCCAAACCCCGTAAATTTCTAAAGCTATTAAGTTTATCGGTCCGGGGGGGTAAGAAGCTCCTAACTTTTATAAATGGTCGTCCTGCCTTCGGTGCAATTTACGAAAAAACCTCGTTCCTCATTTCACTTAATTCTGCCACAACGCGGACGAGCGGAAGCGATGGGACACCGGATCGAGACACGGCTAAGACGATATATCGTTGTAATAGAGAACGATTGATTCATCTCTCGCCGTCGTCTTTAAAATTGTCCTTTATTCGAAAGATATTAAAATCTCGGTAATAAAATAACTCTGACAAATATAAAGCATTTGGATATTGTCAATAATTCATGATTCACTGCACGTAGAAAGATATTCTTTAAATAAGATATATTTTTTTATTATTTAATAATACTTTGCTATACAAAATAATATGGTACATCATTTCAAACCAACTCACACCGTATTTACACACAAATACAGTCAATATATTCCAATAAATCAATTTTGCATTCTGTTTAATGGAAAATTAATGACAATCATTCGCGGACGAGCACGCATTACAAGTACACACAAAGAACAGGACACGCTTAAATGACATATCACGAGAAAATCTCTTTCTGGAATTGTTCGGATTCCGCTAAATAATTCACTCCGTCACGGACACGGCATCGCCAGCAATTTTATCCGTCAAACTCGAACTAGCCGAGATAGAGAGGATGCGGCTCTTCTCAACTTTTTTGCTCTTTCGCACACTATTACCAATTCCTCGTGATCCCCTGTGGTTCTTTATCTTATGAGCGCAATTGGTTTTTGACTTGGCGAGCAGCGGCGTCGGCAATCTTGCAAAACGCATGGCGATACGATTTGCGCGATCCAATTCATCACCAGTTGGAAGAAAATAGTGACCGCGGTATCTTCGTAAAATACCGTACTTGATACCTCGTTTCAAAGCCGCCTTCACCTGAGATATCGCGATAATGATCAACTTAAACCCGTGAAATAAATCTATGTGAAAACGCAGTGCGCGCGCACGAAATAAACTATCAAGTATAATTATTTAATACATAAATACATAATTTGTATAACATTCTCTTTCTTTATCTCGAAGAAAGCGATTGCAACAAGTTTCTGGATCTCTTCCGCTAAAATATCGTTATTCAAAACAATTTGCGGAATTGACATGAACTTGACACTCGTACGCACTTTACATATGCATGTTTGTGACAGTGATTGATATGCGAGAATAGAAAAAGTGCAAAAGAAATTTCTATCGTTGATTTCGATCAACACTATTGTTTTTTACTTGGTACGACAACATTGCGTCAATAATGTAATTGTTATAGTATTTATAATAATTAATCAATCAAAATCACAAGTATTATATTTGTAAGCTACATGTAATACATACATGTTCTATATATTGTTACGCTCAAAAAAATTTAATAATTAGAAATTTAAGAGAATGACAAATATTAAAAAATTTTTATCAAAAATAATAGTCTCTAACTACACTCACTTGTCGTTTAACGCGTTCTTCAGGTATGCTCGAAGCATAACTAATATATCCCGCGATTTTTTTGGATGTAGTGCCTTTGGTTTCGCAAAGATCCTGTATAGCAGAGACAACTAGAGCAGCGATTTTCATGGGTCTCATTGGTTTTCTCTTTCTTTTTACAATTTTCGTGTCCTTTCTCGCCATTTTCACACTGATCGTTAAAATACATTCAAATCACACTGACAATTTAACGCAAATATTAAATAAAGTAAAATGTCCGCGACGTAATTGGCACAAAAAATTTATTCTGCGACTGCTGTCAAAAGACCCATCATCGATTATTTCTTTTCAATCATTTGTTTTTATCGAGACAAAGCTATTTTCACACAAGATAGCTTTTAAAAAATATCCAACATATTAATTTTTAATATAATTTTTTTTATATACATTGTTCAACATATCAAATTAACTACTTTTTATTTAAAAGGTACTCCGCTATCAATTTAAAGGAAATAATTTTATACTGAATACAGTTTATATATGTAATATGTATATTATAGCAGTAATTCTTCTTTTTAAAAATGAACATTGTTTTTCCGCTAAGATTATGCATATAATATATCAGGAATAATATGTGAGAAACGGTAAGATAAAAAGTAAAACGGTAAAAGAGAAAAATTAAAACGCGCGGAAAGGTACCACATATACTAATAGCGGGGCATGCTGTAGGGCTTTAAAAAAAAGATGCGGTGTCAGACTGCTGCATTACAACCGCGCCTACGCAATGCATAAAGCCGGGATATGCGAATGCATTATTCTTTCTTTTCTACGTTACCCGAGCTTTTTATCGGCGTATTCGCGGTTCGCGTTTCGCCCTCCTTGTCCCCCAATCAGTCAACTTTACGATAGGCATTACTTTCTTGGCGGATGAAAAAAGGCAACTGTTGAATAATACATCGGCCGGATGCACTCGCACCGGGTATCAGCCCGTCTAGGGGTTGCAACCCCCTCTTTTTTACAAGCCCAACCGGAATTAGTCATCGTGCGAGGAAGAAGAAAGGGAAACAAAAAATACGTACGAAACATATTATGTGGCCATACGCGAGAACATTAACGCAGTGATTGATCGTCAGACCGTTATCAACCACATACGAAAGTATACACGACGAGCAATAAGCCACTCGAGAGAGCCACCCCAGAATCGTTATGCAATCATATGCTCCCTGATAAGCCGCGCCGCTAATAATGGTGGACGATACTTCGTCGTACAAAGAAATTCGCACGCGATCGCAAAGTCCAGCGATACCCGCACGCAAGAGAGTCCTGCACACATTTGCATAATAAAAAAAAAAAAGAATACAATTACGCGGTGAACGATCATGTCGGCCGTTGCTCGTAGAGAACGTATTTTTAGCTGTAATCGGCCGGTATTAATCTCCGCGAAACCACTTAATTTCACGCCGCGTTGAATCGCGCCAGTTTTTCACTTCGAGCACAGTGTGGAGCCGCTTATAATTTCAAGATTTTTAACCCCATAGCCCAGTTCCGTTTTTTAATCGATGATATAATGGTAATTTCATTCCGACGCGTCATTATCATTTCTGCTACGTCTGCCTATAATATTGAAGTGTGATATATGTAGAAAATATTGTGTAGCCTAATTTCAGCAACCAGATAATTGCTTATACGTTATAATATTAAAATGATTTTATTCGATTGAATTAAAGTAGCGTGTCATCCGTGCGCTACATGTCAAAATAAAATTAATTCAATTTCGCTGCAATTGCTCGGTGATTTCGTACGATTGTAAATGTAATGCGCATCTTCAATGTGAATGAATTTTTTTCACTCTATCGCCGAATAATTGCCTGTATCCGCTGTATCGAAATGTGAACTAATTCCTGAACACAATGCAGTGGATTGTCAAATGTCGAAATTTCCGGGAAAAAGAGCAATATTAAAAAATATTACTGACAGCGTGCGTAACACCATGCTGGCGATTTAAATTTTGCAACGGTAACAACCAAATCGATTGTAGATGTTGCGCGATGGCAACAAATTTGCAATACGATGAGAGAAAATCGACCTGACTATTTAAAAAGCAATTATATGCAAACACACATCGTCAGACAGCGGTAATGCCGTTGCCATACGTGCATTCATAGTTTACGTCTGTTACGAACGGTTTGTTGCCGATATTACCACAGTCAAAATGAAGTTTATCGCGGACAAACTAAACGAAATGAGAAACAATGTTGGATTTATTAAAAGCGAAACAGCGTTACCGAAGCTGTACATATTGCGTGACGCGATATGTTTCTATGTTTCATTATATTGTTTATGTGTACATATACATATATGTATATCGCCGTATTTTCTCTCGCTAAATCCTATACTCGCAAAATTAAAAATATATATAACAATAAAGTTCTTCGATTATAAAAGCTGTGTGTGACACATCGAAAACTGACATCATTTCTCTTTCTCTCTCTAAAAGTATTTTAATTAAATTTTATATTTACAGATTGCTGAATTCGATAATATATGATATATTGAAAAATTTCATATGTAATTTATAATTTATAATTATCTACTTTAATCTCAAAATTCTTCTGTTTTGCATCAAAACACCTTTGTGAAGCGTAGCCTCATAAATTATAATCACGGCGTCGAGATCAAGCATGATTTAGCTCCCTGCGCAGCTTTACTCCCTTCTCTCCTTTCTTCCGGCTCATGAGCGTCGATTATTATCCGCGCAATTACGTCGGTAGCTCGCGGTTAGGAAAATACCGATTCCGGGCTGCTTACGGCATGCGAGCAGAAATTTATTAACATGCGTACGTGATCGCTTATGCGCGCACGTAATAAGGTTTAAGCGACGTGCAGGGCGAATTAAACGAGCTGAACGGCTATCGGCGCCGACAATGCGTTCGACCATGCTTTATCGTTTAATATTCTAAGTGGTCGTATAATCAAGTGACGTTACCGCACTCATAAAATGCAACGAAGCGAGCTAATTACAAGCGGACTGCGTTATGAACATAGATTTTAGCGACCAAAAGTCTATTGCTTGCCAGAAAATCCGCAAAATACTTCATGTTGCATTCGCTAAAGAATAGCGTGATTAAAGAGCATCATAATATCAGAATACGTTAATTCATTGTACAATAAACTTGTTTTCCTCAAGATTTTATAAACGCTTTATTAATAAATATATGAAGGAGTTTTATAAGCAAATATTATGTTGAAATTCAAATAAAAAAGTTAAGATCTTCTAATTTTTTAATACTTAATACAAAAAAATAAAATTTGGTTTATATCTCTGCCGATTTTTGACTTCTCACGAAATAATAATCATAGTAAGAAATTCTTTACTTCGAAATCGATTCCTCGACAAACTTGTTAAGACCATATCGTTGTATCGACTTTCCCTCAACGTTTAGATGTTTATCGTTTTCCAAACAGTTCTACTGAGTCTTTGGTGTCAATATTGGCTACGTTGAGAGCCCCTGATATAAAGCAAAGCGACTTCGAAGTTTCGATGGAAAGGCAGTCGAGATAAAGAAAGTTAATTAATCTCTCGTTCTTCGAACACGGTTGCTGCCAACAGGACGAGAATCAAAAGTGCAGTCGCGTGCGATTTCTCCCGATTAGAATTAAAATCGGATGAAAGAATCGTGCAAAATAATGATAAAGAACTAATGATAATAATAAATAAAAAAAGAAGACAAAACGGAGAAGAAATCGGAGAGAACGCAAATTCGTGCCTTTTGTCAATTTGGCGGAGCGTAACGACCGAAGTTCTCGAGATCTTATCCTATCAAGAGAAACCTCGAAAAATCGCGGGTACTCGTCGTGAAACTTTCAATTATAGTTGCATTCAATTACCGCGCGCTCGTTTCTCCCGGCATTTGTGTAATCGCGGTCACCACAAAAGTCTCCCAGTGGAGATACGGAAATTCTTATTGTGCTCCGTGCGCATAAATAGCCTTAAAGAAACGTAATCCTCTGCATCGCAATTTCGCACGACGACGAAATACACGCAACGCAAAATATATTATTTAATTATCTCGTACGCCGCGATAAATCTCAAAATGGACGGAGGTCCGATCCGGGCTTGTGTGCGAAGCTTTATGAGATATAACCGGCTTTCACCGGCTCCATCGCTAGTAGCAGCAGCGAACGAATGTAATTTGCGAGCGAATGATTAATGACCGTCACAAGGACTAGATAAACTACTAACGATGCTCTTCTTCGACACTCCCATGAATAGATTACGTATATAAGCGATCGCGAAAGGGGAAGTGACTTTGGAGCTTGCGTTAGGAAAGTTTCGAGAACAACTGCGTTAAATGGGATCATCCCTCCCGTACTCCATCCCTCTTGCCATCCCGAGTAGAGTAGGTAGGTTATGCGTGATATGCGCCGCTATTAGACATAGGCGCGCACATGTGCGCCGTGGAACTGGAAATGATCGATCCAGAAACAAGCGGATCGGACGAAAGCCAGCAGACTTGTAGACCGAACACTTTAGTCAGTATGCAGAGTGGAATGGTGAATGGGAGAGGGAGGGGACGCATCGTGGGAATTACCGGCGTTCCGATGCATCATCGCAGGATTGTGCAGTTTCCACGCAGGGCCGTGACCACCGATTGGACCTTCCCGAATGCAATTGATCCATAACCGATGGCTGCACTCGCGCTAATACCGTAACACTCATACGTCACTAACGTCTGCAACTCCGGCATAATTCCCGAAGTCGCCCCAAATCATCTTCATCAATGACTTTAAATTATTCGAGTTTGAGTTCTCCATTTAACTCACCACGAGTATTAGAGTTTATTTACGTCATCCCACTCACATGATTTACAAGCATGTTATATCTTTCCGTTTCCATGCGCTTGGCTATTGGATATCACTATTATATATTCAATTTATTTTTTATAATCCCACATATAAAAATCTAATCCCGGATCAACGACATCAATCTGTCACTCGAGATACATCAAAAATTTTGATAGACTGTTATCAATTGGAAATGCAGATAAGCCCTGCGTTGCTAGACAGCTTTACTGCTGGCTCTCTGGGATCTGCAACGCCATCGGACCTCATGAAGAATTCAATCTAGCTAGAGGATACATTCTGGACGACGTTCGAGCCACGAAACTTGTTGTTGCACTAGCAGTATCTTGCTTGAAATGGGCTCCACGGGGAACGGCGTGCCTCGTTAATACTTTAATTTCGTGTAGCAGCTTTCTGTAATACTGCCATGACCCGACAAACGTAGCCTGACAGCATACGAAGTTTCCACGAGCCGAGGCTTAATTGTTTGCTTACTGAACTGTTGTTAGTTAAAGTGGAAAGTTGCTGATAACTCGACTGCAACAGAGACAGCATGGCAGAGAATGAGAAAAGAAGGAAAAGAGA